AAGCCTTTCTTCATCGACACAGGTAAGCCTCGTGAAACCAGGTTTACCTGTGTCGATGAAGAAAGGCTTCTTTGTCGGGGCATCGCGTCCAGACTCTCCCGATCTGCCGACAAACAGCTGATCGGCAGATCCGGGCAGCCATTTTAATTTAAATGAAGCCGCGGTTATTTTAATCGCGGCTTCATTTCCCTCTGCCGATCTGGCTAATCTACATGCCTCCGTCCACGGAGGCATGTAGTCTAAACAGCAGTTCAAGCTGATCTTTTCTTCCATTAACATTAAAGATCCAGAGGGGAACACAGAGCCATCCTGGCCATAGGACAAATCAAGGTGGCCTCCCCAGGCCTCGCACTTTTGGGGGCCCTGCAACAGCTATGCCAACCAACCTATGGACAGGAGGAGTCCAGGAGATTATGGGGTCTGGCATGGTAGCAGCTAGGATTGCCCCCTGTACTCACCACCCAGATAGCAGGAGCCAGAGCAGCCCAGCCAGCCTGCTCCACCCCAGCTCACCACATGCTCCCAGCCCTCTGTGTCTCACTTCTTGGCAGTGGCAGGAAGCCAAGTGCCCTGCCAGGTTCCCTCCACCCTGGACAAGCAAGGCACTGCAGGTGCAAAGAGTAGCATGACAGGGCATAGCAGGCTGCCAGGCTACTCTGGCTCCTGCTGCCTGCCTGGTGAATGAGGGGTAAGTGAATCCTGCTACCACCGTGCCTTCATAATCTCCCAGCTGCATTGCTCCGGGGAAGTAAGGGGCAGGGACAGTTGGGGCTTGGGGAAAGGATGGACTGGGGGCGGAGGAGGGGCAGGGGCTGCAGTGGCGGGGGAGAGGTGCCCTGGGCTCTGCACCTGGGGCAGTGGAGTGGGATGGCCTCAGGAAGGTCGTTGGAGATCATACGCATCTGTAAGGCTATAACATTACCTAGCATGCCCTACTAGCTGCCATATTACAAGTCATGTATTAACAAATGGAAATGATTTTGTAGAAGAACAGGAACATGATTTAAGGGTCAAGGGGGAGTGGGCTGTTAACCTATCAGAGAAGACTGGAATAACTAAAGTCTGCCTGTAAAAAGCAGTTGTCAGGAATATGATAAATATCTGCAGTTCTCTGAAGTCAAGCACCAAGGACAAAGATGACTCACCATTTTTAGGAGAGACAAAATCAGATGTGACTGGAGAAAATTAGGCAAAGGGAAGTTCAGGGTTAAGCCAATCCTAGCTACATTGCTTAGGGGTGTGAAAAATACAGACTCCTGAGTGATGTAGATAAGTCAGCCTAACTCCGCAATGTAGACAATGTTAGGTCAACCGAAGAATTCTTCTGTCAACTCACCTACTATTTCTCTAGGAGATGGATTAATGCAGTGATGGGAGAACCTCCCCAGTTGCTGTAGTGAGTGTTTACACTGACTAGCATTTCAAGTGTAGACAAGCCCTTTAGACTCTGGAATCCTTTTCCCAAGGAAATGTTTGAGGCCCCATTGCTTAAATCATTTAAAGCCAGACTGATAAAACACTCAAGACTATACCATAATGAACAATCCCGTAGTGGCAGAGAGATCATTAAGGATTTTTACATCTCAAATTTCTGTGTGTCTTTGATTTCACTAATGCTGTAGGACCCGATCCAGCAAACACTTATTTTAAGCTTGTGAGTAGTCCCACTGAAGTGAAAGGCACTATTTATGCTCGTGCTGGATTGGGGCAAAATAACCAGTCAATACTTTGATTTTAAAAATACATACATGGGCCTGATCTAATCACCTGGAGACTGGATTTACTCCAATGATTTCAAAAGGTGTGTTATTCTGGAAAGTGTAAATAGGTGCCATAAATCACAGACCTGGATGAAGCTAATGTGTGTATTAAGCATTGTTTATTCAGGAAACAGCAATTGAATACCACCCTGTTGAGTGGATAGCTGACACAACAGAAATTGCTGCCCTAGGCACTGGCCAATTGGACAAGGCCTGAGTAGAAGCCAAGTCATGTGCCATGAAGGCTGATGGCAAATGCAAGAGCCTGGGCATTGATTGGTTGTAGCCGAGTGTGTCTGAGAAAGAAAGGGAAGAGAAAGGGAAGAAAAAGTCAGAGAAGCAGTGGTGAGCATGGCCATTTGAATAAGCCAAGAGGTGAAGCTCCTTTTGAGCATAGTACTGCACAGAGACTTGGATTACTGAACAAGGAAACTGCTTACTGTTGTTAGTTTCTTCTGTGTTCAGGGATGCAGGACTCTGTGGATTCATTGAAAAATTAACAGGCTTGCACCAAAGAATATGCCTGACTTGTATCATCAGTTACTCTTTCTAACAGAAACAATCCAGCAAGGCTCTAATATTTGCTAACCGCTTTGGCCAAAATGGACAAAAGGAAACATCTTAGGTTCAGTGAGCTTTTCATGAACCAAAGGCAGGGCTCTATGGAAAACTGGTCAACTCACCTGGCTGCTGAGTTCCAGGGTCCAAAGCTCTGGGGTAGCCACAGCATGCAGAACTCCTAAGGTGCCAGGGGACCCTAGTGCTCCAGGATCTATTCCTCTGGGGCAGTCAGCTGCAGTAGGGCTTCCAAGCTCACCACTTTGGAACCAGAAATCTGAAAGCTCTGGTGATTCCATCTCTGAATTGGAATTGGCTCTCAAAGCGAGGAATCTGGAGGCCCTGAGATCCCAGTCTGAGGTGGGCTCTCAGGACTTCTAAGCTTCTTGACACAAAGTTGTGCTCCCAGGCTGCCTGGAGAGGCATAAGGATCTTGCACAAAACGGGGTTTTTGCACACAAAAAACCCCAGCCACACTACTTTCCATCCCCCTCCCTGCCAAAACAGCTTGCATAAATTATGCAAATGAAGCACTATGGTATGCTAATCCACACCTCGTTTGCATACTCACTGCCGGCAAAACCAGGAATGTAGACGAGTCTCTAATTCTGTGGGAAGCTCTACCATGTGCCTGCCTCAAGCCAGAGACTCCAGGGGTTCCAGAGTACAGCTGGTCTGAGAGTCTGGAAACACTCAAGTCCCTATCCCAGTGTAATCCACAGAGCAGAGCTGTCCCAGAACCAGAAATTCAGGGTTGTGGGCAGCTCTAAACAGGAGATTAGTCCTGGTTTACAACAATACAAGTCAGATCACAATCAGGCTCTGCGTCAGCGAATAATTTTATAACACACAGGACTTTGATCACATCACATTTGGTATGGGCTCTTTTGTCAGAAATTCTGATGAGAAAAATTATCACAAGGCACAGTTGCTCTTCAGAGATCTTATCAGGTAGGCTACGTCTAGACTACATCCCTTTTTCAGAAAAGGGATGTAAATTAGACGTATTGCAATCGCTAATGAAGCGGGGATTTAAATCTCCCGCACTTCATTAGCATAAAAATGGCTGCCGTTTTTTTCCGGCACGGAGCTTTGTCGGAGAAAAGCGCCAGTCTAGACGCTGATCTTTTGAAAAATAAAGGCTTTTCCAAAAGATCCCTTATCCCTTATTTCAATAGGGATGTGTGGTTTCGGTTCCAGTTAGTATTGCAACAGTTAGTATTGCAACAGTGAGCCGGTTCCTCTAACTTACGCCACTGATGTAGGATCTCTAAAAAGCTCTCTTCCCACACACTATTCCTTTGATGTGGCTTCTCCAGCAGAGTTGAGGGAGGCAGATGGCTGCACTAGTCTGTTGCTGGTAGGGAGGTCCCCCACAACAGGACAGTTTCCTCCTAGCCACTAATAGCGTGGCTCTCCCTCAGTAGAGTACAATGTTCCCTGGTTGCTGTGTGCTTGTGTGGCCACTCAGGAGAGATTCAACAGTTGGGTTATCATACATAAGAAAAAATATGATCTCTTTCTCGTGTGTGTAGGTGTGTCTCCTCCCAGCAAAGATGCAATAATAGAGTAAAATGGTTTCATGCTATTATGGCCACAAGGACAGCAGATGGAACCCCAGAGATCTGGGTTATATTCTTGGCTGTACCACTGCCTTGCTGTGTCACATCAGATGAGTTATTTCCTCTCAGTGTCTTTATTTCCCCCTCACTGTCCAGAGACTGTCAACTCTCTCTCCTACTATAGTTTTGTCCAGCACTTAGATTTCAGCTGTGGCCTTTAGGTACCACTGGAACATGATACGGTAATACTAATAATACTATAGGTTATACCACAATGCATTGACTAGTGCATGAAGAGGTCTTACCATAAACAAGCTGAACTGAACTACAATTGTCAACTGAGTGGATAAAATTTATTTTATGGAGAAATATCTAGATTTTCTTTGTTCACTTCATGCTCCTGTTCCATGCTTCCCCCTATGTTCACAAGAGCAGATCTACAAGAGGAGAGCCTGAATTGATGGATCTCTGCTATCTCAACAGCATGTTCCCCTTCTTTCCAGCCCCATAGATACTGCTCCAGCAGCTCCACTGGTGAGGAGAGTTGGAGAGGCCAGGTAAGCCTTTTCTTTATTTTTCTTCCTTGAACAAAACCAAAGGGAAAGCACTAACTTGCTCAGGTGGCTATGGGCTTGTCTATACTAGTTACAAACGTTCCACAAAAACGATTCCAGCATAACTCAGTGCAAGTCTGTCGGCAGATGCTCTCCGGACTTCTTTATATGGTAAGTTAGTGTGCGATAAAGCAGAGTATGACTCTACAATGCGCCAGCCTGCTGCACGGTAACACCCCACGTGACTACTGCAGCTCCCTACCTCCTGCTGACCCCGCTGGGCAGCACTTCCTGCCAGTCTGTGTCTCCCTGAAGGTCCAGGACCTGAGGGACAGCTGTGCACACTGCCCTGGAGCTCTGGGACCCGTGGGACAGCCACGCCCCACTGACCTACCGCAGCTCCTAGCCCCATTGGGCAGCTATGTGCCAGGTCAGCCAATGTCACTGGGCAGCCCCACTGCCATGCGCTGGGTGTCCTGCTGTCAACTCTGGCCCCTCAGGGATCGTTGCCACTGGGACTCTGGTCCTGCAACATCCATGCCAGACCATGGATGTTGCCAGCCCAGAAGATCCCAGTTAAGAGAGTTTCAACCTGTACAGAACTTTTAGGGCACTGTATCAGGTTCCAAACAGCCAGTTCCGGCACTGCAAACTAGTGTGCTGTAGATTTACACCCTGGCTTGCCAAGCACTAACTCTCCAGGTAGAAAAACCTTTAATCTGGAAGAAGAGTGCCTTTTTTCTCTGTATCTTATTCCACTCTGGATGTGAATTAAAGTAGTTTGGAAATTATCCAATGAATCCACTGCAGTGGATTAAGTTGAATGGGAAAAAGGCATTCTTATTATGGGAAATCCACCTCAAGCATTATTCCAAAAGAGCTATTTTGATAGATTTCCAAGTGTAAGCAAGCCCTTATACTCGTTCCCTCTCTGTGCTTTGGAACATCTCCGGGAGGGTGTGCCAAGGGGCATCATGAATTTGGGTAAAGATTTGGTAAGATGGTGACCTGTAGACAAGGAGCCTCTAGTATGAGATGACCCCCTACTTCAGGCAGATCCTTTATGGTTTGAGAGTGCCAATCCTCCTACTTTTTCTGCATGAGAAAAACTCTGCCTCTTGAATGGAAGCATTAGAAGTTCATTCTCTCTCTCTCTCTCTGGGTACGTCTACACTAGCCACCCTAGTTTGAACTAGGGTGGCTAATGTGGTCATTCGAACTTGCAAATGAAGCCTGGGATTAAAATATCCCAGGCTTTATTTGCATGTTCCCGAGCGCCACTATTTTTAAATGCTTGGTAGTTCGAACTCCCTTCACGTGGCACAGGCTAGGTAGTTCGAACTAAAGCCCCTAATTTGGACTACTGTTACTCCTCCTGCAATGAGGAGTAACGGTAGCCTAAATTAGGGGCTTTAGTTCGAACTACCTAGCCTGTGCCACGTGAAGGGAGTTCGAACTACCAAGCATTTAAAAATAGTGGCGCTCGGGAACATGCAAATAAAGCCTGGGATATTTTAATCCCAGGCTTCATTTGCAAGTTCGAATGACCACATTAGCCACCCTAGTTCAAACTAGGGTGGCTAGTGTAGACGTACCCAGAGAGAGAGAGAGAGAATGAACTTCTAATGCTTCCATTCAAGAGGCAGAGTTTTTCTCATGCAGAAAAAGTAGGAGGATTGGCACTCTCAAACCATAAAGGATCTGCCTGAAGTAGGGGGTCATCTCATACTAGAGGCTCCTTGTCTACAGGTCACCATCTTACCAAATCTTTACCCAAATTCATGATGCCCCTTGGCACACCCTCCCGGAGATGTTCCAAAGCACAGAGAGGGAACGAGTATAAGGGCTTGCTTACACTTGGAAATCTATCAAAATAGCTCTTTTGGAATAATGCTTGAGGTGGATTTCCCATAATAAGAATGCCTTTTTCCCATTCAACTTAATCCACTGCAGTGGATTCATTGGATAATTTCCAAACTACTTTAATTCACATCCAGAGTGGAATAAGATACAGAGAAAAAAGGCACTCTTCTTCCAGATTAAAGGTTTTTCTACCTGGAGAGTTAGTGCTTGGCAAGCCAGCCCTCACCAGGGCAGAATGGGGATCATTCACCATAACTTGCTGACTAATGCAATAAAGAGATGATTCTTCATTTACTTTAGGTCTTTAGTTCATCACTGCATTCTTCCAGCACGGCTTGCTTTCTACAGAGCTATGTTATTTACCCCCATCTTCAGCAAACTGTACAATGAAAAAATATGAAATATTGCTTCTCTTTGTACCGTCTGAGGAATTAATGGCAAAACCAATTAAATCCAACATGCAAGACATCCAAGCTCTATGCGTCTCCCACTGATTCATTCTAAATACTGCCACATCACTTTTAAGTCATTTCCTTTCCCAGGCGAGGCAGTTTCATTCATATCAAAAAGCTTGATCTAACCCAAACACTCTTACAATAAACCAGGCAACCTCGTTTTTGATATCATTAGCCTTTAACCTCTGAGGGACTTCTTCAGAAAGGAGCTGCAACTCGTTACCAGATGTCAGAAAAGAAATTAGTCATAAAAACCTCAGAAACAACTTGAGCCAGGCAGTGTACGTTTTCTATTATGCTGAAAAATGAAAGAAATTGTCTTTAATGCATCAGGGAGGGGCAAGTGTTTCAGAAGGTCATGTCATAATCAGCTCTACGGAGCCTCAAACCCACATGGCTCATAATTCAGCCACTGGATTTCTTCATAAACTCTGAGAATCTGTGGAGCTCAGATGCAGCATTTGTGCCTTTCTTTATAGTAAAGCAAAAGGGCACAGTAACGTAGCATGGGGTAGAGGATGTGAGATGTGCAACTCAATTCATAAATATGGTTTAAAAAAGTCAGTCATTTCCAG